GGGAAGAGGCCTTAGCACGCAGTTGCAAACTAAAACGTGTGCAGTTCAAACCCATTAGGCATTCCACAGGAAAAGATATGGCAGTCAGGTTCTGCTAACATTTACGGCCTGAAAACCCGGTGGAGCATTTCTACACTGTCTTGTTGTGACAAGATGAATCAGAATAGACTCATCGTGAAAACCAACTTTTGTTTTCAATTGGCTGTCAGGGAGAGAAGGACAGTCCACCAGCACTTACTGTGGAAGACCAGGGATACTAAATGCCCTGCAGTACAGAGAACATTCCCACATGGTAAAGGATCATCACACATCATAGATGGCTTTCAAAGGTTCCAATAAATACATCTAAGAGGGGAATTTGACTAACATGTAAACAAAATACAGTTCTCCATGAATACCAACATTTTCCATTTCTCTTTATAATTACATTATAGTGACTTTTTAAAATACAAACACAGAGATAATATTAAGTCATTTTCATTTCAAGTAAGCAAAAAGAGCAATAAAAATATTATGAAAATGTAACTATGGATAAGACTGGAAAGTCAATGGAAGAAAACAAGCATGCTATTAAAGGAGATCAAAATCAAAGGTTCTCTAGTTTTCTTGTCAATGTACGTGTAGTGTTGTTGTTAGCTGCCACTGAGTCAGTCCCTCTGCTCCCTCCTGATAATGGGTCTTAAGAAAGTGAGATGAACTTGTACCATCTCTGTTCGACCAGGCTGACCAGAGAAACAAATTCATGGACACTCATTTATGTGTGAGAGCTTTTAGCAAGAAGTAATTATATATCAAGCAAACACCCCAGCCCAGTCTAGATCGAGTCCATAAGTCGGATACTATTCCATAAGTCTGATCCTCGTCCATAAATCTCTCTTCAGACTCACAGTCACACACAATGATGCAGAATGCAGGAAGAACAAAGGTAGGTGCAAAGTCTTACAGATCCAATAGCGGTGGACACACCTCCAGGGCTCTGGCTGCCATCAACGTGGATCAAAGTGGATGATCAAAGGGAAGGTAAAGAAGAGGGAGGGAGGCTGGCCTCCAGAAAGCCATTTATCTCAGGCGCCCTCCAATCAAGCTGCAGCCTGATTGACAGGCTAACCTCCACCCACGTTTCTACAGAAGCCACGGTGGCACAGAAAACCTGTCATACCATCCTTGCTTTTATAAAAAAAACTATGTCATGCTTGTGCAGGGGTCACGCTAATCTTCTACGAATCACTCCAGCTTTAGTGCACTGTGCAGCTGAAGCGAGCACAATCGTTGCTTCTGCGGCACAGTCTCTAAACATTATTGCTGGACGTCTTACAACAAATTTGCTCATTCTTCTGATAGTTCATGGTATAATCAGTTTCCTTATGAACATCATAAATGCTTTTGCAGCCATAAAAGGCAAATGAAAATACTATGGCAGGGTCAGGAGTCTATTAGTCTTCAAAGTGACATCTTTGCACTTTAACATGTTTACACTTTTGAAGCAGATTTACCCAGTGCAATACGTTGCTTGGTCTCAAGTGCGGCACTTCCATGGGTGTTGACTGTCGATCCAAATAAAACGAAATATTTCACAATTTCAATCTTTTCTCCATTTATCATGATGTTGTTTTTTGGTCCCATTGTAACAATTTTGGTTTCCTTTACATTAAGATGTAATCCATATGGAAATCTTCAAAAGCAAGTGTTTCATGTCCTCGTCACTTTAGCAAGCAAAGTTGAGGGACTGCCTCCAATCGTGATGCCATGGTCTTCAGTCTACTGTCTTGGATATGTTCAGCATATGAATTGACTAAGCATGATCAAAGGATACAACCCTAACAAGCACCTTTCCTGACTTCAAACCACCTATTATTCCCTTGTTCTGTCTTCTGGTCTACATAGAGATGCCACATGAGCACAAAAAAGCTTCTGGAAATCCCATTCCTGGCAGTGTTATTTATAATAAGTTATAGATAATTAAACACAGTACTCCATATACTCTGCCTTCAGCCAAGATCCATCTGATATCTGCAACGATAGCCCTCGTTCCACATGCTCATTTTGGATCCAGCTTGAATTTCTGGCAGTTCTCACTTGTACCATTTTTTAATTGTCTTCAGCAAAGTTTTACTTATGTGTGATATTAATGATAGTTTGATCATCTCTACATTCTGTTGAGTCACCTTTCCTTAGAATGAGCACAAATATAGATCTCTTCCAGTCACTTATCCAAATTTCTTGTTACAAATGTGCAAGGACTTCCAGAGTTATATCTGCTTGCTGAAACACTTCAGTGGGTACCCCTTCAATTCCTGAAGTCATGTTTCTCATCACAATTTAGACTTCTTCCATTCCTTATGCCATCAATTCTTGACCATATACTACCCTCTGAAATAGCAGAACGTAGATTAATTCTTTTGGGCAAGGCAACTCTTTATATTCTTTTCATTTTCTTTTGATACTGCCTGAGTCATTCAATATTTTATCCATAGAATCCTTCAATTCTGCAACTCAAAGCCTGAATGTCTTCTTTTGTTTAAGCTTTAGAAAATGGTTAATATTTTCTTCCCTTTTGGTTTTCTAAGCCCAGGTGCTGGCACATTTCACTATAATACTTTACTTTGGCAAGATATGACAAAATAATAATTTATAAATTATCAAGGGTTCATGACGGAGGGGGGAGCAGGGAGGAAGGGGAAAAATGAGGAACTGATGCCAGGGGCTTAGGTGGAGAGCAAATGTTTTGAGAATGATGAGGGTAATGAATGTACAAATGTGCTTTACACAATTGATGTG